TATTGAAGGCGGCAATGGAGAACTCTATTAATAAGAGAGTACAAGGTAATAGGAGAGAGATAGAGAGAGTAAGAGTACGCCCAAAGTGAGGTGTCTTTGTTCTCTATGTGAGGAGTTTACAATTTATAGGCGTAGAACTCTAAATGAGGTGGTGAAGTGAGAGTCAAGATATTAATTTATTTGGGAGGATAGTTACAATTGAGGATGAACACTATCTTGGAGTAATGGTTATTTCGATGATTACTTTCTCACGTGCGTTAATTTTTCTTGGACTCTTGAACGTTAGATTGGACTGAGGCCATGAGCTAAGTCTAACATGCCTTTTAATGATTTGGGCTCAACCCATGAACTGGACCTAAACCTGGTCTGAATTTGGGCTCGTCAAAAATAAATGAAAAAAATTATTGAAGGGGATTTAGATTGAAAACAAAACTCAATCAAGGTGATTGATTGTTGACCCATTTGATATAAATGGATCACACACACATGAATGACAAATGATTTGTCTAGAAAATAAATCGAGAAAAAAAAATATTAGAGCGATTTAGATCCGAAAACTACTCAATGAAGGTGATTGATTGTGGTGATCTACATAACTTAAATGCATAGTTTTAATATGCAATTTATTTACTTTGGCGTGCCTCTGGCAATTGTTGAAGCACTACTGCATTAGGACGAAGCCGTGCAAAACACGTCTTTTTTTAAATTCAAGTGGGATCCATTGGATATAAGTGAGTCCCTCAATCTTGAATGAGAAATGATTTGCCAAGAAAATAAATGGAGAAAAAAGTATTGGAGGGGGTTTGGATCCAAAAAAAAAAACTCGATCAAGGTGGTTGATTGTTGTGATCTATATAAGGACCATGAGAAGTCTAAGAACTTAAATACATGATTTGATTGTGGTGATCTTAAGGCCCATGAGAAAGTAAATGGAGAAAAAAAAAATATTGGAGGGGATTTAGATCCAGAAAAAATTCAATCAAGGTGGTTGATTATTGTGATCTATATAAGTTCTACGAGAAAGTTGATGATGCATAAAGTTGATGATGCACAATCAAATCAGTTGAGTGTGTGGTGTAAAATAATTAATAATAAGATAAAAAGATTCAGTGGTTGAGTCGGGTTGATCTAACTATTGAAGGCGACAATGGAGAACTCTATTAATAAGAGAGTACAAGGTAATAGGAGAGAGATAGAGAGAGTAAGAGTACCCCCAAAGTGAGGTGTCTTTGTTTTCTATGTGAGGAGTTTACAATTTATAGGCANAGTGGTTTTATTGGGTTTATTGGGTTGGATCTATTATTATTATTATATGGAGAATGAGTAAAGGGCGCAGGACAGGATATATATGGCCAGTCGGTTGGACAGTGGGCTGGTTTAGCATATGATTATGGGCTGGTTTGGCATATGGTTATGGGCTGGTTGTTTGTTTGCTGTCGGTGGTATTTGTCAGTGCAGGTGAGGATCGGTATGGACTGGTTGAACTGGTATGGATTGAGGTTGCTGCAAGTGTTGGATACGAGATGGCCAGTGACAGGGCAGTAACCATGGAAACTCCAATAGCAAACTTGTCCATAAGATCATCTTCAGTCAGATCAAGCACCTCTGGGTTAAAAACTGAACCATTGTCATAAACAGACAGAACTTGCAGACCATAAGAGAAGGGTCTTATCCCAAGTTTTGCAAGCAGGGCAGCCTCAGAGGAATAAGGTTGAGGTAGGCCTTGTTGCCGGTCTTCTCAGAATGGATCCTGATGGACCTCTTCATCATAGTATTTTTCCCCATCAGCACGATAGAGTCTCCACGAAGTCCCTGCCTAATATTCTGCAACTGGTTCGATCCGACATTGTCGGNCTACGAGAAAGTTGATGATGCATAAAGTTGATGATGCACAATCAAATCAGTTGAGTGTGTGGTGTAAAATAATTAATAATAAGATAAAAAGATTCAGTGGTTGAGTCTGGTTGATCTAACTATTGAAGGCGGCAATGAAGAACTCTATTAATAAGAGAGTACAAGGTAATAGGAGAGAGATAGAGAGAGTAAGAGTACGCCCAAAGTGAGGTGTCTTTGTTCTCTATGTGAGGAGTTTACAATTTATAGGCGTAGAACTCTAAATGAGGTGGTGAAGTGAGAGTCAAGATATTAATTTATTTGGGAGGATAGTTACAATTGAGGATGAACACTATCTTGGAGTAATGGTTATTTCGATGATTACTTTCTCACGTGCGTTAATTTTTCTTGGACTCTTGAACGTTAGATTGGACTGAGGCCATGAGCTAAGTCTAACATGCCTTTTAATGATTTGGGCTCAACCCATGAACTGGACCTAAACCTGGTCTGAATTTGGGCTCGTCAAAAATAAATGAAAAAAATTATTGAAGGGGATTTAGATTGAAAAAAAAACTCAATCAAGGTGATTGATTGTTGACCCATTTGATATAAATGGATCACACACACATGAATGACAAATGATTTGTCTAGAAAATAAATCGAGAAAAAAAAATATTAGAGCGATTTAGATCCGAAAACTACTCAATGAAGGTGATTGATTGTGGTGATCTACATAACTTAAATGCATAGTTTTAATATGCAATTTATTTACTTTGGCGTGCCTCTGGCAATTGTTGAAGCACTACTGCATTAGGACGAAGCCGTGCAAAACACGTCTTTTTTTAAATTCAAGTGGGATCCATTGGATATAAGTGAGTCCCTCAATCTTGAATGAGAAATGATTTGCCAAGAAAATAAATGGAGAAAAAAGTATTGGAGGGGGTTTGGATCCAAAAAAAAAAACTCGATCAAGGTGGTTGATTGTTGTGATCTATATAAGGACCATGAGAAGTCTAAGAACTTAAATACATGATTTGATTGTGGTGATCTTAAGGCCCATGAGAAAGTAAATGGAGAAAAAAAAAATATTGGAGGGGATTTAGATCCAGAAAAAATTCAATCAAGGTGGTTGATTATTGTGATCTATATAAGTGCTACGAGAAAGTTGATGATGCATAAAGTTGATGATGCACAATCAAATCAGTTGAGTGTGTGGTGTAAAATAATTAATAATAAGATAAAAAGATTCAGTGGTTGAGTCTGGTTGATCTAACTATTGAAGGCGGCAATGGAGAACTCTATTAATAAGAGAGTACAAGGTAATAGGAGAGAGATAGAGAGAGTAAGAGTACGCCCAAAGTGAGGTGTCTTTGTTCTCTATGTGAGGAGTTTACAATTTATAGGCGTAGAACTCTAAATGAGGTGGTGAAGTGAGAGTCAAGATATTAATTTATTTGGGAGGATAGTTACAATTGAGGATGAACACTATCTTGGAGTAATGGTTATTTCGATGATTACTTTCTCACGTGCGTTAATTTTTCTTGGACTCTTGAACGTTAGATTGGACTGAGGCCATGAGCTAAGTCTAACATGCCTTTTAATGATTTGGGCTCAACCCATGAACTGGACCTAAACCTGGTCTGAATTTGGGCTCGTCAAAAATAAATGAAAAAAATTATTGAAGGGGATTTAGATTGAAAAAAAAACTCAATCAAGGTGATTGATTGTTGACCCATTTGATATAAATGGATCACACACACATGAATGACAAATGATTTGTCTAGAAAATAAATCGAGAAAAAAAAATATTAGAGCGATTTAGATCCGAAAACTACTCAATGAAGGTGATTGATTGTGGTGATCTACATAACTTAAATGCATAGTTTTAATATGCAATTTATTTATTTTGGCGTGTCTCTAGAAATTGTTGAAGCACTATAGCATTAGGATGAAGTCGTGCAAAACACGTCTTTTTTTAAATTCAAGTGGGATCCATTGGATAAACGTGAGTCCCTCAATCTTGAATGACAAATGATTTGCCAAGAAAATAAATGGAGAAAAAAGTATTGGAGGGGATTTGGATCCAAAAAAAAAAAAACTCAATCAAGGTGGTTGATTGTTGTGATATATATATGGACCATGAGAAGTCTAAGAACTTAAATACATGATTTGATTGTGGTGATCTTAAGGCCATCAGAAAGTAAATGGAGAAAAAAAATATTGGAGGGAATTTAGATCCATAAAAAATTCAATGAAGGTGGTTGATTATTGTGATCTATATAAGTGCCACGAGAAAGTTGATTATGCATAAAATTGATTATGCACAATCAAATCAGTTGAGTGTGTGGTGTAAAACAATTAATAATAAGATAAAAAGATTGAGTGGTTGAGTCTAGTTGATCTAACTATTGAAGGCGGCAATGAAGAACTCTATTAATAAGAGAGTACAAGGTAATATGAGAGAGATAAAGAGAGTAAGAGTACGCTCAAAGTGAGGTGTCTTTGTTCTCTATGTGAGGAGTTTACAATTTATAGGTGTAGAACTCTAAATGAGGTGGTGAAGTGAGAGTCAAGATATTAGTTTATTCGGGAGGATAGTTACAATTGAGGATGAACACTATCTTAGAATAATGACTATCTTGATGATTGCTTTCTCACGTGCGTTGATTCTTCTTGGACTTTTGAGCTTTAAATTGGACTAAGGCCATCAGCTAAGTCCNAGATATTAATTTATTTGGGAGGATAGTTACAATTGAGGATGAACACTATCTTGGAGTAATGGTTATTTCGATGATTACTTTCTCACGTGCGTTAATTGTTCTTGGACTCTTGAACGTTAGATTGGACTGAGGCCATCAGCTAAGTCCAACCTACCTTTTGATGATTTGGGCTCAACCCATGAACTGAACCTAAACCTGGTTTGAATTTGGGCTCGTAAAAAATAAATGGAAAAAAAAAGTATTTAAGGGGATTTAGATTAAAAAAAAAACACTCAATCAAGGTGGTTGATTGTTGTGATCTATATAAGGACCATGAGAAACCTAATAACTCAAATGCATGATTTTGACATGCAATTAAAAACATTGGCATATCTCTCAATTCATAAAACACTAGGATGAACAGGCGCAAAGTACGTCTTTTTTAAATTTANCATGAGAAACCTAATAACTCAAATGCATGATTTTGACATGCAATTAAAAACATTGGCGTACCTCTCAATTCATAAAACACTAGGATGAACAGGCGCAAAGTACGTCTTTTTTAAATTTAAGTGGGGCGCATCGGATATATGTGGATCCCACACACATGAATGACAAATGATTTGTCAAGAAAGTAAATCGAGAAAAAAAGTATTAGACAAGATTTAAGGGTCATGCGAAGTCTGATAACTTAAATGCATGACTTTAACATGCAATTCATAACATTGACATGTCTATGGCAATTCTTGAAGCAGTAGGATGAACTTGTGCAAAATACATCTTTTTTAAATTCAAGTAGGACCCTTTGGATATAAGTGAATACCTCACTAATGAATGACAAAGGATTTGCCAAAAAAGTAAATGAAGAAAAAAGGTATTGGAGGGTATTTAGATCCGTTAAAAAACTCAATCAAGGTGATTGATTATAGAAGCGATCTTGGCCATGAGAAGTGTGATAACTTAAATGCATGATTTTAACATGCAATTATAGACATTGGTGTATCTCTGGGAATTGTTTTAACTTATTGTGGTTAAAAAGTTAAATATAAATAGTGCTAGTTACTATAGTTAGAAGATTAAAATGTAAGTAATAAGATAAGACGTTAGATTTGAAGGATTTGGGCCGTTAAGTCATTAGCTTAAGGAGCTTAAGTAGGAGACTCGATTTTATTTATATAGATGTGGTTTGGTCGCCAATTGTGGTCACTCATCAATTAGTGTCCAACCACGAAATGTAAATTTTTTTTTTTGGTTTCTTGTCCCTTTTTCACACAAAAGAATAAAATAAATATAAAATTGTCTAATCTTATTACATTTCATTTTGTTATTTTTACAATCAACTGTTGCATATAAATCAAAACAAGATCAATGTTTTGAATTCATATTAATTTCAGCTTGATTTTGAAAAGTATTTTTTGATTCCATAGTCTTATCACATTAGCTATTGTAATTAGGTGTTGATTGTTAAGCATGTAACACACCATTTTGTATATGAAGTGCAATCTTTTCATCATGTAAAATATACAGAAAGACAGAGAGTTTACTTCTCCAACTTGAATTCTTTACATAAACCTTAAAACAAGTTTATAAAATGATTAAAGAGTTTTGGTTATTTGAATGGGCAAGTCTGTTTGGTTGCTGCTTTACCATAAAAGGCTTTTGGCCACTAAATTAAAGGCGAAAAATCGGCACAATAAGTTTTCATATTTTTTTAAACAGAAATTACAACAAAAGAAGTTTTTTGTTTTAATTTTTTACTTCCAAAAAATAAAAAAAAAAGGGAAAATTGGAAGGAGGTACACAAAATTAGACTTAATTGTAAAAAAGTACATAAAAAAAAAATGTTGGGTAATTAAGTCCTTAATTTTGATACTTATTTGTATCTAAGTACATTATTTGAATTTTACTGATTTTTTTGTGACATTTTTGCCCTCCATTAATCTAAGGATTTTTTTTTTGAAAAGTGGTGCATTAAACATCTCATAGTTTTATAGGAAAACTTTAATATATATATATATATATATATCTCTTATCTAAATTTTGAATTATCTTTAATGCACCTTGATTCATGTGTATTATTTTTTGGAAAGAGATTTTGTTTT